GGCTCGATCTCAGGACTCTGGGATCATGACCTGAGCCGAAGGCAGACGCTTAACAACTGAGCCACCCAGGCGCCCCAAGTCAGGATCATTTTAAACAAGTCATCTGCTGGCTTATGTATTCCAGAATATGTGCCATGTGCTATATTTATAATTGTATTAATCTTCATTTACTTTGTTAAAAACTACTATGTAGGTTTTTTCAGATTTCTTTTTATCCACTATTAGTACTTTTAAGCAGAAAGGAGTGCATGTATATTGAATTGAAGTAAAATTTCAAAATAAGGTGACATTTTGGTAATGTTAGGTTTAATTTTTGAAATTTCAGTGTTTTTGAAGAAACTGACACAGATTTACAAGAGCTTCAGGACTCTATGGAGCAGTTACTTAGGGAACAACCTGGAGAAGAATACAGTGAGGAGGAAGAATCAGTCTTAAAGAACAGTGACATAGAACAGACTGCAAATGGGACAGATCTGGCAGATGAGGATGACAATCCCAGCAGTGAAAGTGCCCTAAATGAAGAATGGCATTCAGGTACGTTGTCATGATCGTGGGACTTTTTTTTTTTTTCAATGTATACAAATATTTCAAGTTGAGTATATTTTTCTGATACCTGATATGAATGAACAGTTTCCAAATTTAAATAAAACTGAAGTATGCTTCTGTGTCTCTGACTTTTATTTATTCTTTTTCTTTTCACACAAATGCTCATATACATTTGTTCCATTTCCCATTAAATTTTGGAAATGCTTTTGAAGCATTTTTATTGCTTTCTTATCTTTCTTGACTTATTTTTCTAGTACTAAAGATAACAGCCTAGTTTTCTTTTTTTTTTTTAATAAAGATTTTATTTATTGACAGGGACACAGCGAGAGAGGGAACACAAGCAGGGAGAGTGGGAGAGGGAGAAGCAGGCTTCCCGCCGAGCAGGGAGCCTGGTGCAGGGCTCAATCCCAGGACCCTGGGACCATGACCTAAGCCAAAGGCAGACGTCCAACAACTGAGCCACCCAGGCACCCCAACCTAGTTTTCTTAGCACTTTATATTATACAGAGAGCTTCCACATACAGTGGTTAACCAGCAGGGTTAATGCTAAAAGCAGTTTTTAAAACCTTGACTTTTTTTTTTAAACTGTTCTTTGTTCATAGCATTACCCCTAAGATGCATAGAAAATATGTGTATTTCAAGAACTATATAATGTTTATTTGGGAAGAAGAGTTAATGTGAAAAGGAACAATTCTTCAGTAACTTTGTCTTTTACTAGAATGTATCCAAGTGTCTTGGACATATTCACGACATAAAACATATATAGCATTTATAATACTTTCTAAATGCTTTACTAAAGTTTTATGATATGTAGCGTAAGTCATCTGCCTCCTGCATGATTTTTCATGTTTTGGTCTATGTTTAATGTCAACTTTTTAAAAACAGTTAGGGTTGGTTTGCCTGAGTGCAGAACATATGGGTATGCTTTTTTCATTTTTTGCTCCATTAGAATGTTTTTATTCTAACCTGGTTTACTGTTTATGTCTATAAAAGAAGAGATTCCCAAAGTAACAGTCTTGTTAAGACATTTATATACATTGATTTCCTACATAAAAGGCAAAAATTGTAATGACAAAAACCTTATATTGAAAGTACAAGTGGTCTTTCAGTGACATCACTCATCAAAAAGAATTTTAGTCTGTTAGGGTAAGAATTATTTTATTCATTCTTTATTTTTTAAAGATTTTATTTTTTTGTCATAAAATATCTTTTTATTTCTGTTTTTTAGATAACAGTGATGGTGAGATTACCAGTGAATGTGAATATGATAGTGTCTTTAACCATTTAGAGGAACTGAGACTTCACCTGGAGCAGGAGATAGGCTTTGAAAAATTCTTTGAGGTTTATGAGAAAATAAAAGTAAGTAAAATGTCAATTAAAACATTTAAGTTTGGGGTACCTGCCTGGCTAAGTAGGTGGAGCATCCAGTTCTTGATATCAGGGTCATGAGTTCAAGCCCCACCTTGGATGTGGAGCCTACTTTAAAAAAAAAAAAAATTAATTTTGAAATATGCTCTTTTTGGTTTTGTTTTTCTTTGTTTTGTTTTTTTTTTTTAATATTTATTTGAGAGAGAGAGCATGAGCAGGGGGAGCGGCAGAGGGAGAGGGAGAAGCAGGCTGCCCACTGAGCAGGGAGCCTGATGCGGGACTCGATCCCAGTGGGATCACGAACTGAGCCAAAGGCAGATGCTTAACCGACTGAGCCACCCAGGTGCCCAAAATATGCTCTTTTTGAATTACTAGTGAAATGTCAGTGACTTTTATAGGTCAGTAGATTTATTATAAATAATCAAGTCTCTAGAGAAAGTTAATATTCATATATTAATTTATATTTGGAAATTTGGTATAGGCTGTTCATGAAGATGAAGATGAAAATATCGAGATTTGTTCAACAATAGTTCAGGATATTTTAGGAAATGAACATGAACATCTTTATGCCAAGATTCTTCATTTAGTCATGGCAGATGGAGCCTATCAAGAAGGTAAGATTTCCTCAGTCTTTATATTTTAAGTAAATGTGCAAAAAACAGGATGACAAATGTAAATTGCTGAGCTTTTTATCACATGTGTTTTGGTGAGATCTATATTGGAATCATACCCCAGTACTAATAGCAATTATAAAATTAACCATGTCATATACTTTTAGTGATTCTATCATTTTTATTGACTTAAGTCCTTTAAGTTCATATTTTTACTTAATTTATAAGTAACATTTGAATGAGATTTTTTTGAAAGACTCCTTATTGGACAGCTCTAGAAATTAGAATACTTTCTTATCAAGGATGTAGAAGTAAACTTTTAGACATACATGCTTCAGCAATATGTACAATTTCTCCTAAGTAATACCAAATATAGTCTCTTCCATTCACAGTAGATGGAATTCATTTATAGTGATTTGAATGTAAACCATTTTTATATTTGGAAAATATTTACCTATAGAATCACTTAAAATATATTAGAACTTTACTGAAAATTATTAAAGTTAAAAATGGTGTTTCCCCTTAAATTTAGTCAAGAGCACTAAACGTGGTACCAGACCAGTGGGTATAGTCCTGACTCTGACAAGCTGGTAATGTGACACTATGTGATTTATTTTAAGTTTCAGTTTCCACTGCTATGAAAGTTTGGTCACCATTTTAATGCACTATGAATTGTTTTCAAAGTACTTATCAAGTGCTTCTTATAGCCTCATACTTTATTACTATGGACATTAAAAAACAGTCTTTGCTTACATGTTGAATTTGGAAGATGAGACATAAGTATATGAAAATGTAAAACTGTATATAAAATGCGTATTCTAAAATACTTTTCAGTGCAGTAGGAATTGGAGAAGGGAAGCTTGGATTATCAAAAATGGAAAGAAATGTAGAGCCATAATAACGTGTCAGAAAACAGTGAAAATTAATGTATATTAGAGTTAATATTGGAAGCTTCTTATAGAAAATAGTCTTCATTGTATGGAAGTGTTGAATCACTGTATTGTGCACCTGAAACTAATATTACACTGTTAACTAACTGGAATTTAAATTTAAAAAAGAAAATTAGTCTTTGTGATTAGATACTGTGAAGCGTTTAAAATACATAGAGGAAATCATTGAAGGTTTGTGAACTGAAAGAACTGACGGAGTGAAGGAGATGTTTTATAAAGTTCAGTCTCGTAGTAGTATTCTGGATAACTTGGAGAGTCCTAAGATTGCAAATAAGATCTGTTTTGAAGCTGTAGATGCCTTTGGGCACAAGATGGTGAATACCTGGATTTAGTGTTCATACGAGTGGAGCGTTAATATTCAGTTCAGGTATTTCAGAGCCAGGCTTTTAATAAAAATATTTGATATTTTGACTCATGAAAAATCAAGTTTCCAAAAAACAAATTCAAGAATGTCTTTTATTTTGGGAGCAACTTCACTTAGTTAAGTTATAGACTTATTTATATTGACCATAAAGCTCAGCCAAAAAAAAAAATGTTTTTGAATTGGTTAAATGTAAGTAAAAATCTTCTAAAAACTCTAATAGTTATTGTTAAGTTAAAACTAGAAAATCTTCAGGTACAGTGAGTACTCCACTGCATCTTCATTACTATTCTTACCTTAACAAAATAACTGTCAAGAAAATGTTAGGGTCATTAGCAACAAGTAATGGATTGAATATATGCCAGTAATTAATGCTGCATATGTTCTTAATTATGGTTTTCTTTAGCCTGCTTAATAATTAAGATGATCACAAATAGGCAAAAACAGAATAATGTTTCATATGTATGGTAGTGCTATGAAACCTATCAAAAGAAACTTAGGGGCGCCTGGGTGGCTCAGTCGGTTAAGTGTCTGCCTTCAGCTCAGGTCATGATCCCAGGCTCCTGGGATCGAGTCCCACATCGGGCTCCCTGCTCACTGGGGAGCCTGCTTCTCCCTCTCCGACTCCCCCTGCTTGTGTTCCCTGTCTCACTGTGTCTCTCTCTGTCAAATAAATAAATAAAATCTTTAAAAAAAAAAAAAAACTTAAAGGAGCTCCTTTCTTTTCTTTTTAATTTTTTTATTTGACTAAAGTTGACACACAATGTTATATTAATTTCAGTTGTACAACATAGTGACTTGACAAGTTTTACTTTATGCTGTGCTCACCACAAGTATAGCTACCGCCTGTCACCAAACAATGCTATTACAATATCATTAATTATATTCCTTATACTATGCCTTTTCTTCCCATGATTTGTTCATTCCATAACTGGAAGCCTGTATCCCCCACTCCTCTTCACCCATTTTGCCAGTCCTCTCAACCCCCTCTCTGGCAACCATCAGTTTTTTCTCTGTATTTGTAAGTCTGATTCTGCTTTTTTTTCCTTATTCTTTTTATTTTATTTTATCTTAGATTCTACATATGAGTGAAATCATATGGTATTCCTCTTTCTCAGTCTGATTTATTTTACTTAGCAAAATACCTCTGGATCCATTTATGTTGTCACAAAGGACACACTCTCATCCTTTTTTATGTCTGTATGATATTCCAGTGCATGTGTGTATGTGTGTGTGCATGCACACATATACAACATCGTATCCATTCATATGTTAATGAACACTTAGGTTGCTTCCATATCTTGGCTATTGTTAATAATGCTGCAATAAACATAGGAGTGCATATATCTTTTCGAATTCGTGTTTTCATTTTCTTTGGGTAAATACCCAGTAGTGGAATTGTTGGAATAAATGGTATGTCTATTTGTAACTTTTTGAGGAGCTTCCATTACTGTTTTCCACAATGGCTATACCAGTTTACTTTCTACCAACAGTGTGCGAGGCTTCCTTTTTCTCCATATCCTCACCAACACTTGTTATTTCTTATCTTTTTGATATTAGCCATTCTGACATATGTGAGGTAATATCCCATTGTGGATTTGCATTTCTCTGGTGATTAATGATATTGAGCATCTTTTCATGTGCCTGTTAGCTATCTATATGTCTTCTTTGGAAAAATGTCTATTTATGTTCTCTGCCCATTTTTTAATCAGATTGTTTGGTTTTTTTGGTGTGGGGTTGTATAACTTGTTTATATATTTTGGGTACTAACCCCTTACCAGATATATCATTTGCAAATATCCTCTCCCATTCAGTAGGTTGCCTTTTTGTTTTGTTGATGGTGTCCTTTACTGTGCAAAAGCTCTTTATTTTGATGGAGTCCCAGTGGTTTGTTTTTGCTTTTGTTTCCTTTGTCTGAAAGGACGTATCTAGAAAAATGTTACTATGGCTGATGTCAGAGAAATTACTGTGTTTTCTTTGAGGATTTTTATGGTTTCCAGTCTCGCATTAGGGTCTTTAATTTATTTTTGTGTATAGTGTTAGGACATGGTCCGGTTTCATTCTTTTACATGTAGCTGTCCAATTTTTCCACTAGCATTTATTGAAGAGACTGTCTTTTCCCCATTGTATGTTCTTGTCTCCATTGTCATAGATTAATTGACCATATAATTAAAGGTTTATCTTTGGGCTCTCTGTTTTCTTCCATTGATTTATATGTCTATTTTTGTACTAGTACCATACGGTTTTGATTACTACAGCTTTGTAGTATATCTTGAAATCTGGAATTATGATACCTTCAGCTTTGTTTTTCTTTCTTAAGATTGCTTTGGCTATTTGGGTTCTTTTGTGGTTACATACTAATTTGAGTATTCTAGTTTTATGAAAAATACTGTTGGTATTTTGATAAGGATTGCACTGAATCTGTAGATTGCTTTGGGTAATACATTTTAGCAATATTAATTCTAATCCATGAACATGGAGTATTTTTCCATTTGTTTGTCATCTTCAGTTTCTTTCATCAGTGTTCTATAGTTTTCAGAGTACAGGTCTTTCACCTCTTTGGTTTATTCCTAGGTATTTTATTCTTTTTGGTGCAATTGTAAATGGGGTTGTTTTCTTAAATTCTCTTTCTTCTACATCATTATTAGTGTATAGAAATGCTACTGATTTCTGGGTATTAATTTTGTATCCCGAGACTTTACTGAATTATTTATTTTGTCTAGTAGTTTTTTGGTGGAGCCTTCAGGATTTTCTTTGTGTACTATCATGTCATCTGCAAATAGTGATGTGTTTAACTTCATTGACCAATTTGGATGCCTCTTATATTTTTTTATCATCTGAGTGTTGTGGCTAGAACTTCGTGTTATGTTGAATAATAGTGGCAAGAGTGGACATAACTTGTCTTGTTCCTAATATTAAAGGAAAAGCTCTCAGTTTTTCACCATTGAGTATGATGTTAGTTCTGGGGCTTTCATATATGGTCTTTATTATGTTGAGGTATGTTCCCTCTAAACCTATTTGGTGGAGAGTTTTTATGAAGGGATGTTGAATTTTATAAAATGGTTTTTCTGCATCTATTGATGATCATGTGATTTTTATCCTTTGTTTTGTTAATGTAGTATGTCACGTTGATTGATTTGTGAATATTGAACTGTCTTTGCGTCCTTGGAATAAATCCCACTTGATCATGGTGAATGATCCTTTGAATGTATTGTTGAATGCAGCTGGCTGAGAATTTTTGCATGTTCATCAGGGATATTGGCCTGTAGTTTTTTCTTTTTGTGGTATCTTTGTTTATTTTTGGTGTGAGGGTAAGGCTAGCCTCGCAGGATGTATTTGGAACCTTTCCTTCTTCTGATTTTGGAATAGTTTGAGGAGAATAGGTATTAATTCTTTAAATGTTTGGTAGAATTCACCTGTGACTCCATCTGGTTCTGGACTTTTATTTTTTGATTATCAATTCAGTTTATTTACCAGTAATCTGTTCAGATTATCTATTTCTTCCTTACTCAGTTTTGGAAGATTGTATGTTTCTAGGAATATATCCATCTCTTCTAGTTGTCCAATTTGTTACCATATAATTTTTCATAACATGCTCTTATAATCCTTTGTATTTCTGTGTTGTCAGTTGTTACTTCTCTCATTTTTCTCTCTTTCCTTGATGAGTCTGGCTAAGGGTTTATCAATTTTGTTTATCTTCTGTTTTAAATTATTTTATTTTATTTTATTTATTTATTTGACAGAGAGAGACACAGCGAGAGAGGGAGCACAAGCAGGGAGAGTGGGAGAGGGAGAAGCAGGCTTCCCGCGGATGCAGGGCTCGATCCCAGGACCCTGGGATCATGACCTGAGCTGAAGACAGATGCTTAATGACTGAGACACCCAGGCTCCCAATTTTGTTTATCTTTTTAAAGAACCAGCTCTTGCTTTCATTGATTTTTTTTTTCCTATTATCTGTTTAGTCTCTGTCTCATTTATTTCTGCTCTAAATTTATTATCTTCCTTCCTTTTACTCAGCTTGGGCTTTGTCCTTTTTCTGGTTCCTTTAGGTGTATGGTTAGATTGTTTATTTAAGCTTTTTCTTGTTTCTTGACATAGGCTCTTGTCACTTTATTTCCCTCTTAGAACTGTTTTTGCTGCATCCCAGAGATTTTGGACCATTGTGTTTTCATTTTCATTTGTTTCCATGTATTTTTTGGTTTCTTCCTTCTTTCTTAACCCATTGGTTGTTTAGTATCACGTTGTTTAGCCTCCATGTGTTTTTTTCCAATTTTTATCTTGTGATTTATTTCTAGTTTCATACTGTTGTGGTCAGAAAAAACACATTGGTATGATTTCAGTTTTCTTAAGTTTACTAAAGGTTGTTTTGTGGCCAAACATGATCTGTTCTGGAGAATGTTCCATGTGCACTTGAAAAGAATGTGTATTCTGTTGTTTTGGGTTGGAGTGTTCTGTTTATCTATTATGTCCATCTGGTTTAATGTGTCATTCAAAGATACTCTTTCCTTTTGATTTCCTGCCTGAATGATCTAGCCATTGATGTAAGTGGAATGTTTACATCCCCTACTATTATTATATTACCATCAATTTCTCTGTGTCCGTTAATATTTGCTTTATGTATTTAAGGGGCTCCAGTGTTGGGTGCATAGATGTTTACTATTGTTATATCCTCTTGTTAGATTGATCCCTTTATCATTATGTAATGCTCTTCTTGTCTCTTGTTGCAGTTTTTGTTTTATTTTTTTATTATTTTTAAAGGTTTTATTTATTTATTTGAGAGAGAAAGAGACAGAGATAGCAAGAGAGTGCACAAGCGGGGAGGAGAGGGAGAAGCAGGCTCCCCGCTGAGCAGAGAGCCTGACACAGGGCTCAATCCCAGGACCCTGAGATCATGACCTGAGCCTAAGGCAGACGCTTAACCAACTAAGCCACCCAGGACCCCCTGCAGTCTTTGTTTTAAAGTCTGTTTTGTCTAATATAAAGTATTGCTACCATGCCTTTTTTTTTTCTTCCACTTGCTTGGTAAATGTTTTTCCATCCCTTCACTTTCAGGCTATATGTGTCTTTAGATCTGAGGTGAATCTTATGTAGGCAGCATATAGATGGGTTGCGTCTTTTTGTTTTTGTTTTTTTATGCATCCCATCACCCTATGTCTTTTGATTGGACCATTTAAGCCATTTACATTTAAAGTAAGTAATTGATATGTATGTACTTATTGCCATTCTGTTGTTTTCTGGTTATTTTTGTAGTTGTCTGTTCCCTTCTTCTCTTGCTCTCTTTCTTTGTGATTGATGAATTTCTGTAGTATTATGTTTGGCTTTTTTTTTTCTCTTTATTTTTTTGTATATCTATTACAGGTTTTGGGTTTGTAGTTACCATGAGGATCATATATTAACATCCTAAGTATACAGCAGTCTATATTAATTTGATGGTAATTTAAGTTCAAACACATTCTTAAAAACCTTTTTTTTCTCCCTCCTCCACCTTTAATGTACATGCTGTCATATTGTATGTCCTTTTCATCATTTTCTTATGTCTAATTATAGCTATTTCTTTTCAACTTAAAGAATTCCCTTTAACAATCCTTATAGGGCTGGCTTAGTAGTAATAAATTCCTTTATCTTTTTTTGTCTAGGAAACTCTAACTTTCCCTCAAATATGAAGGATAATTTGCCAGGTAGAGTATTCTTTGTTGTAGGTTTTTTCCTTTCAGCACTTTGAATATATTATGCTACTCCCTTCTGGCTTGCAAAATTTCTGCTGAAATCAGCTGAGAGCTTTATTGGTTTTCCCTTGTAGGTTTATTGTTTCTCCCTTGCTGCCATTAAAAGTCTGTCTTTTTTCATCCTTAACCTCTGACATTTTAATTATTATGTGTCCTGGTGTGGACTCCTTGGAACTCCCTGTGCTTCTTGGACCTGAATGTCTATTTCCTTTCCCAGGTTAGGGAAGTTTTTAGCTATCATTTCCTCAAGTTTTCTACCCCCTTTCTCTCTCTTCTTCTTCTTCTTCTGGGACCCCTATAATCTGAATGTTTCTTTGTTTGATGTTGTCTAAGAGATGCCTAAACCTATCCTCATTTAAAAAATTTTTTTTTCTCTTTTTGATGTTCATTTGGGTGCTTTCCATTTCCCTATCTTTCAGATTATTGATATGTTCTTCTACATCCACTAAATCTACTGTTGATCCCAAAGGGAGATGTTTTCCTTTAAAGAAATATTAAGGAACCATAACATCACTCTGGGGGGAAAATGTCAGAACTTGTATATCCAAATAAATAATAGTTTCTTTAAAGTAGAGATATAAATTTATCTAATTTAGATTCTCCATTACACAAAATATCTTGGAACTTTTGGAAGTTCACTGACAGCTTATATACCAGGTTATTTTGATGGTCTTTCTTTGTATGAGTCTTTATTCTGGGCACATTTAGGTATTTTTGGACAAAGTTTTAGTTTCTTGAAGCCAAGCTTAGTGAATGAAGTGGGAATCAAGATAAATTTGTGGTCTTTTAGTTTTTAGGTATCTCACCATGAAGTAATGAGCTTAATTTTTAAAGTAAATTTGTAAACTGATTCTGAATAATTTGAACAAGAATTCTTCTCTAGAATATCTGTCAAAATTACTTTAAAGATATGATTTGTATTCTAAAGGGATTTGAGGATTTGAAATATTTAAAATGTTGCTTAATTTTAGCAATATGAATTTTCAGAAGTTTTATTTATATTCTATGTTGTCAAAAAATTTAACATTGCATTTACAAATATATACAGTACAAGGTAAAAATAAGTTTAAAAAATGCTTGGGAAAGTCACATATCAGGCAAATGAGCCTAAGCAATGATTATTAAGCCAAGAATGAGGTGAGAATACAAAGTTAATGTTCAAAGGGTCTCTACATTTTGTGAGAATAGGTCATAAATTTGGTGCTTATCTTTCTAGCAGAGCAGGAAACCTAATTAATTACATGGGTCACTGTTCTCAAGACAAAACATCTCACTCAGAAGACAGCTGTTTTTGGTATTAAAACAAAGGAACAATTTGCCCATGATTCTTAAAAAGAGGGCACAATCATACAGTGTTCCTCAAATTTTAATTACATGTGGATTTCTTTAAAGGGGAAATTTTTTTTAGACTCCAAGAATCTAAGTCCATAGGCCTTAGTGAAAAACTCAAGTCTTAGTCTTTCAAAATATATGTCAGTTGAGAATCACTACTGTAAAACAGATGTTTTTCCTCTGAATATTGAAATACTATTTTTGTTTTCAAAATTAATATATAAAATTTAAACATTATCAGGGCGCATGGGTGGCTCAGTCATTAAGCATCTGCCTTCAGCTTGGGTCATGATCCCAGGGTCCTGGGATCAAGCCCCGCATCGGGCTCCCTGCTTGGCGGGGAGCCTGCTTCTCCCTCTCCCACTCCCCCTGCTTGTGTTCCCTCTCTCTCTGTCAAAAAATAAAAAAATAAAATAAAATAAATAAATAATTTAAACATTATCTGGAACTTGAATATTTCTTATTTTATTGAGATCTTGGACCCTGTTTTATAAAACAGCACTATATAATGGACTAAAAATTATCTTCAGTAATTTTTACAATATTTGGATTTCAGGGGCCTCTTTCTCATAATATGATATTGTGTAGTTTAATGACATGAAACCAGAGAATGACTCCACTTAAGTTAATCTGTGAAGAATACCAAACTAGTTTTATTTGTATTCATACTGTTTAACCTTTGGGCAAGTCTCCATAAGTATTGTTTCAATACTGCTTTTTGTAAGTAAGCAACAGTGTGCTTAGGGTTCAACTTTGCTTGACAAATATTTGGAAAACCTTTATTTGGTATTGCTCCTTAAGCTGAGAACTGTAGCAGTTTACTGAGCCACAAGGTAGAATTGACATGTTTTTTGGGTAGTTGAGTGGCTTCAAAAGGATACATGCCTACATAGAAGTCTGTCTCTCCTACAAAGCACCAAAAATCAGGCAAGGCTTATACACTCCTCAAGAAGTGATACTGGGAGAGGGTTCAACATGGCAGCTTAGGAAGATCCTAAGCTTACCTCCTTCCACAGGCACAACAAATCCACAACTGCATATAGAATAATTCCTCCTGAAGGGGTCCTAGAAAGTGGATGGATGAAGCCTCCACAACAAGGGACAGCACTGAGATGGGTAGAAGAGGCAGAGATATGATCTCACTACAGAAAAAACCCACACCCCTGGTGCAGCACTCCATGGTCAGGAGGGATCGCAAAGGTATAGAACTTTTTCCTGAGGAATGATTGATTTGAGCTCCGTATCAGGCACCCCAGCCCTGAGATCCTACAGAGGAGAGACAAGTCCCCAAAACACCTGGCTTTGGAAATTGACATAGATCTATAGAGAAAGGAATACCCATACTTAAAGGTCTTGAATCCAAACTCATTCAACCCAGAAACCAGCACAGAACACCAGATTAAAAAGCACATAAACCATATGTGAAGGAGAACACTTACTCATCTTAGAGCAACTGCTGCAACTGCTGGATTCTTCCCAGGGACAGAGACACTGGCAGCAGTCATGTTTACTACCTTGTTCTGTCATGCTGATCCTGGCACTGGCAGGAGCCATTATGGAATTCTACCTGTAGACAGCTAATGCCAGGGGACATGCACCAGTCAGAGCTCTGTACAACCCTGCACCTTGGCTGGGCCTCATTGCTATCTGGGCTAGAGACAACCCCCTCCCACCAGTGTATCCACAGCAGTCAAGGTTCCACCACAACAGGAGGATACATGCAGCCCACACAGGTGCTCTTTGGAGCACCTGGCTCTGGTGGCAAGGGGTAGGGGGGATTGTGTTGTGCTTCTGGGCTATATAGGACATGTCCTACATGAAGCCTTCCTTCAGACCAAGAAATGTACCTGAACCACCTAATACACAGAAAAGATGCAAGAGTTAGGCAAAATAGGAGATGGAGGAATATGTCCCAACAAAAGAGAAAGACAAAACCTCAGAAAAAGAACTGAAAAAAATGAAGATAAGCAGTTTACCTGATAAAGAGTACAGCATAATAGTCATAAAAATGCTGACTGAACTCAGGGGAAGAGTGGATGAACACAATGAGAATTTCAAAAAAGAGATAGAAAATAAAAGAAAGTAGCAATCAGAGAGGAAGAATACATTAACAAAATGAAAAACACTAGAGAGAATAAATAGCAGATTAGATGATACTCAGATCAGTGAACTGTAAGACAGGATATTAGAAATCACTCAAACTGAACAGCAGAAAGAAAAAAAATTAGGATAGTTTAAGGGACCTATGGAACAACATCAAGCATACTAACATTTACATTATAGGGGACTCAGAAGGAGAAGAGAGAAAGGGTCAGAAAATTTATTTGAAGAAATAATAGCTGGGATGCCTGGGTGGCTCAGTTGGTTAACGTCTGCCTTCAGCTCAGGTCATGATCTCAGGGTCCTGGGTTCAAGTTCTGCATTGGGCTTCTTGCTCAGCAAGGAGCCTGCTTCTCCCTCTGCCTGCCACTCCCCCCTGCTTGTGCACTCACACTCTCTCTCTCTCTGACAAATAAATAAAATATTTTTTAAAAAAGAAAGAACGAAAGACTAGCTGAAAACATCCCTAGCCTGGGGAAAGGAAACACATCTAGGTCCGGGAAGCACAGAGGGTCACAAACAAGATGATCCCAAAGAGAGCCACACTAAGACACATAATAATGAAAATGTCAAAAATGAAAGATAAAATCTTTAAAGCGGCAAGAGAAAATAAGAAAATAAGGGAACCCTTATAGACTATCAGCTGAACCCTCATGGACTATCAGAAATTATTCAGGCCAGAAGAGAGTTGCATGATATATTCAAAGTGCTGAAAAAAAAAAACAAAAAAAAAAACTAACAACCAAGAATATTCTACCAGACAAGGTTAATATTCAGAATTGAAGGGGAGATACAGTTTCCCAGACAAGCAAAAGTTACAAGAATTCATCACTACTAAGTCAGCTTTACAAAGAAAAGAAAAGGCAGGCCATAACTAGGAATAAAAAATGATATTAAAAAAAAATCACACCGGTAGAGGCAAACATATAGGACAGATAGTGAGTGACTTACAGAGCTAGTATGAGGGTTAAAGATAGAAGTAATAAAATCAACTAAATGTACAATAACTACTGATGGGATACACTAAACAAAAAAATGTAAAATAAAGTATGACATCAAAAATTTAAACATGATGTGGGGGGGGGAATGTAGTGCTTTTATAATGTATTCAAAATTAAATACCCACCAATTTAAAATAGACTGGCATATACATAAGTTGTTATATATGAACCTCACAGTAACCACAAACCAAAAACCTGTAATACATACACAAAAAATAAAGAGAAAGGAGATCAAATTTAACTCTAAAGAAAATTAGTAAATCATAAGGGAGCAAGAAAAGAAGAAATGAATAAATATGTTAAAATATCCAGGGGCACCTGGGTGGCTCAGTTGGTTAAGCATCTGCCTTCGGCTCAGGTCAGGGTCCCAGGGTCCTGATATCAAGCCCCCACATCGGGCTCCCTGCTCTGCAGGAAGCCTGCTTCTCCCTCTCTCACTCCCCCTGCTTGTGTTCCCTCTCGCTGTGTCTCTCTCTGTCAAATAAATAAATAAAATCTTAAAAAAAAATGTTAAAATATCCATATTACCCAAAGCAGTCTACAGATTCAGTGCAATCCCTATCAAAATAATCCTAAAATTTATATGCAATCACAAAAGACCTTGAATAGCCAAAGCAGTCTTGGGAAAGAAGAACGAAGAGGTATCACACTCCCTGATTTTAAACTATCCAGCAGAGCTGTAGTAATCAAAACTAGCACAAAAACAGACACATGTTATCAATGGAACAGAATAGAGAGCGCAGAAATAAACCCATGCTTATATGCTTATATGTTCAATTAACCTACAACAAAGGAGGCAAGAAATTACGGGGAAAAGACAGTCTCTTCACTAAGTGATGTTGGGAAAACTGGAGAGCTACATGTAAAAGAATGAGACTGGACCACTTTCTTTCACCATATATTAAAATAAAATGGATTAAAGACTTAAAATAATACTTGAAGCCATAAAGCTCTGAGAATAAAACATAGGCAGTAAGCTCTTTGACACTGGTCT